AGACTCAATCTGGCTTACAGTTCAGTAAAACCCTTTCTCATCTCTGCACAGTATTAAACTGAGGGCTGGTAGGTGCAAGTCACAGTACAGTTCACTCCATACAGAATCACACATATGGCTATTTTTAGTGAATGAGAGATTGTGGCTTTGCATCCACTTCTTGAAAAGAAACCCGAACATTTCCAAATTTAGCACTGAGTGGAGAAAGGAATCAGAGATGCAAGTGTGAAAAGACTTACAGCCATCTCACCTTGGAATCTAAATGCTGTGAACTGGCCATCATAAATGAACCACCTTGTTCTGACCTCAAGGTATGTTTATATATTTAATTATGTGGAGCTATGCAGCAGGATTAGCACATTAACTCTAAGTGCCTGCATAAATTATAACACTGAAAAGCTTACACAGTTGACATATTATCATGTGTAGAGAGATCACACTGAGTGATGCAGTCAAGAGACGAAGCAGATCTCTTCACAATGTTTTCTAGATTAATTGGATCAGCATAAAACATAGACCATAGCCTATCTGTGTATTAACTCTAGCTTTTCATTGCATACGCCCAAACCTCATCTGTCACACAGTCACCTCTTCCCTACAGTAGCTCCTTATCAGTGATACATGCAGGCAATGTAGCCACAGCAGGGAAGGCCTGAGCACAAGAGACAGATCTCAGAGGATGCAGCTGCAGTATGAGATACTTCCTTAGCCCTGAGAAGAAAAAACAACAGATGAGAACAGCTGAGCATGCTGACTGCAACTCATTTGAGGAAGCTCACCACTCCCCTCAAAAGTACTAAGGAGTTCACCAGGGCACAAGAGAGTACTGCAATATTCCTGCCCCAAGGGAAGGGAATTAGCTTAATGTACCTTGCTGACTTCAGACAGCAGGTGCCAGGGAAACAAAAAGTAGACTTGAAGAGCTGAAAAAAAACCCCACCCAAACAAAAAATATCCATCAAAAAAGGAAACAAAAAAACCACCAAAAAAAGCAGTTTTTAACTTTACAAAGACACTAAAGATTCCCACCACTTAAATGTAGGCATAGAGAATGGAGGAAGATACAGGAAATTATCTCTTGTTCCTGGACGTAAAGTATTGCTAAGTCTTAGAAGAAATGAGACCTTGTCCTAAGTCTTCGATTAACTATTTTGCTTTGAATCTTGTAAACAGCAGTATATCTGCTCTGTGCTCCTGGCAAATCCACACTGCTTCCTTCCTCTTGCAGGTATTTTGCTCCTGACAGAATACCAAGCAATTAATATCAGGTAAACATGCAGCAGCCTGGAGGCTGGGACCCATAGAAAATTCCCATGGGGACTAGAAGGGCATGGGTTTCTCTAGCCAGGGCCCATCCCACCACCCTCAGTGAGGGAGCAGCCCACAGCATCAAGCATCTCCACAAATGTGCTGAGGTCAAGCCAGACAGTCTCCCTGCAGGTCAAAGTCAGTGCATCCATGGCTGGATATGTCTATGGCAGAACTGGAGACCAGCACTCCTAAGCATAAAGCAGAAAGGGACTAAAAGCCCAGGGCTAAGCTGAAATAGGGCCCATGAACAGATGTGTGGATGGAGGTCCCAGGTGAGGCTGGTCAGGGCCACTAAGGTGGGCAGCAACACAATTAACCTCCCAGAAAGACTTAGCAAAGGCAGCCCTTCCCCTTGATCTATACTGATAAAGAGGATCTGGTAGGATCAGACAGGTGAATGCAACAAGCATGCGAAGTTACAAGATTGATAAAAAGAAAGGCAGTGCCAACATTTAAAATTCCTTCTTCCTAAGTGTTCTACTCTCACCACTTTTCACTTTCACATGGAAATCAGTTACTCAGCCTATGCATATGTAATCCATAACATGATGCTTTTATAGTTTTCCCTTACATTTGTCACTTTTTGCCATAGTGGTCTGCAATAAAGTCACAGCCTGAGCTGAGTCCAGAGAAAGATGATCATTCAGGCAGAAATAACAAGGGGAAAAAAACCTCGTTATAGATCTGACCTCGCTTGTACTTGGGAAACTAATTGCAATCAATGTCTTCAGCTACACACAATTTACTACAACATGATATGTCTGACCCATGAGGTGAGTAAAACTGATCCCTGGCAGTGGCCATTATTCTTCACACACCACTAAGTGATACTATCAGATTCCCCACATGTAAGGCCTCTGTGATTTCGTACTGAGTTACATTTAAAATTAGAGCAGTGGCAATTGCCGCAGGCAAAACTTTCAACAAACCACAAAGTACAGCAGTTGCAGCAGAATATAATGATAAAATGAGAATTCTGTTGCACTGAAGGGAAAAAGAAAAATAAAAAAATAAAAGAAAGATACAGAGAAATGCACATGTGGCCTTCTTTTGTGGAGCCATACTGTTGTGTCTGCATATAGTAGCTGCCTCCTCAGCTGAAAAACTGTGCATACCTCTTGATTGTCTGGTAACTTCCAAGATACCTTCAAGACCATTCATTTTACCTTACTGTTGCTAGACTGCTTTTGACGACCTTTAAAGTCAGCAAAGAACTTTGCATCAAATTAATGGAGTCCAGTGTATGATTTGTGATCAAATGTTGGTGCACACTCAGGGATGAGTTGCTCCCACAATTTACTACTTGATTAGATGCAGCTACTCTTTTCTTGGTGTCCCTTAACAACACAAGAGTCTTAGGTGACTGACCAAGCCCAAAGATTCTTCTCATACATCAATGTTGATAAATGGCGTTACCTCATCATACATAAGGAAGTGTTGGGGCTTTTTTAACAGCATTTGTTTCACTCCTGATTGTTCAGTGGGAGAATCAATGGCCACAAGGTGTAACAGTTTCCTTACAGGGAGTCCCTGCTGCCAGTGACTGCTATTGAAGGTAGGATGTTACTTAAAAAAACTCACCATATACACAGTTCTGAGGGGCAGGGATCATGCCCTACCCTTATCTTTGTGGAAACCTGGCTGGCTGGGCACATTATGAACCCTGTTCTTAGCTGGATGCCTCATCAAGGCAAATACAGTAAGATTTATTATATCTTTTTCAGCCATTAAGTTTTCAGCAGAACGTATTCTTTTGCTTAATGTTAATAATAAAATTAATTCACTAATTAATTTCCATGCACAAAGAAATGCAGCTAGCTAATGCTGTATCTCCCATTTGGCTTAGCAGTATTACATTTTACTATCATGTGTACATCCCAGCTCCAGAAAAAGAAAGAAAAGGTCAGGTCCAGTGCAATGTGTAGCTGAGAAAGTCTCCTAACAAAATCATTAACTCTGCCATAATGTCAAACAAAAAACATATTTGGGGGCAACTCTTGTGGCAGTTTTAACAGCAAACAAGAACGAATGCAAAAGAATGGAAAGGATGCACAAACAGCTCCTGGGTTAAAATCAACCTCCAGCTGTTAGATGAGAATGAGACCCGTGGAGAGTTGAATTGTGCTACAACTCCTGGTTCCAAAGATCTTTCTCTTTAAAGAAATTATACCAGCCATTAGTAAAGAGTAGTATTAGACTTAAAGAAATGAAATTCTGATCTGATGCTGCAATTACAGCGTTACCTTTTCCTATTAAAAAAATGAAGATTGCAATAAAGTGATTCAGATAATCCCAACAGAAACCCTGAACAAAATATTAGTGGCTCCTCAGGGAGCAAGAAAATGACACGGTGCCTCACAAAAACCTCCTGCCACACAGGGGGAGAGAAGAGCCACAAAAACGTCTTTGCTCCCCGCCCTCCCCTTTCAGCCAGCTCTGGCTCCTGCCGACCGCTACGCAGATGCTGCGAGCCCATCCCAGAGGGCTCCATCAGCCTTTGGGAGACGGCTCCCCGCGGTGGGGGTGCCTCTGGAAGGAAGGGCTCCCCGCGGTGCGGGTGCCTCTGGAAGGAAGGGCTCCCCGCGGTGGGGGTGCCTCTGGAAGGAAGGGCTCCCCGCGGTGGGGGTGCCTCTGGAAGGAAGGGCTCCCCGCGGTGCGGGTGCCTCTGGAAGGAAGGGCTCCCCGCGGTGGGGGTGCCTCTGGAAGGAAGGGCTCCCCGCGGTGGGGGTGCCTCTGGAAGGAAGGGCTCCCCGCGGTGGGGGTGCCTCTGGAAGGAAGGGCTCCCCGCGGTGGGGGTGCCTCTGGAAGGAAGGGCTCCCCGCGGAGGGGGTGCCTCTGGAAGGAAGGGCTCCCCGCGGAGGGGGTGCCTCTGGAAGGAAGGGCTCCCCGCGGAGCGGGGGCCCCTGGAGGGGAGGGGTCCCCGCAGAG